TTATTTATCGTGCTTATAAGGTGTAAATACATTGATTTGAGAAAAAACTCGTTAAAGTTTCACGTCGTAAAAACAAATCTTTTTCAATTACAAATAACTTGTTGGATAGTCTGCAATGCCCGGACCATATAACAGACCTTCAGCTTCTTCATAAAATTCACTTTCGATCGCCAACTTGTCTTTTTGTGCGTTCGAGTTTCTTTAAACAGAGATTCGTTACGTCGTTCCTGCCGAGTAATTCGATATTCGTCCATTTGTTCAGCGTATATTTTGGCTCGCCTCCCAATAATTATATTAAATTTACTCATTATTTCCAAAATGCTACTGTGTCCTTCATTAACCCTTGGGTAGACGCGCCTCTATACGTAACGCCAATACACGCGCTGGGACTATCAGTCCCATAGCAGAAAACAGCTCAATTTTTATATTATATTATACATACTTTGAATTATAAATTAAATTGTTTTACAGCAAGTTGGTTTATTAAGGTATTTTAAACCTGAAAACATTAGGGTATAAAAAGGCAACTAATATCTAGCTTGAATCAAAGTTAACATTTAATAATTTGTAAAACACATGGGTACGAACACATTTGTTGAATATCTTTATTTTATCTCTTTCACTACTACCTTCAAGACAATTTTGACAAATTGATTTAACGTGTTTTTTCAAACATATACAGGGTGTCTCAGCGAGACCGGTCATTAGACGTTTCTGGGGTTCTGGCGAAAATAAAAATTTTAGAATTCAGACTTAAGACCTGTATATTTTTACATATTTGGATTTGTCTGTTTTCAAGGTTTATAAATAACTTTACTTTTTGCAATTTGATTCGGTCGTTCTCGAGTTATTCGAATTTTTCTAGAAAAATCTGCTCCAACAGACAATTGTTCAAAAAATTAGAAAACACTCAATTTTTGGGATATCAATTTAGGATTGAGAACATGCTGAAGCAACATGATGGAGTATGTTTTGGGGCCGAGAACTGCGGTCTAGAACGTTTGATCACTTTACTATGGCACGTTAACTTTTCAAAATTTGGAAGTACCATAACTTCATTTTTTTAAATGACACCCCCCCATATTTTATTTTTTAGTCGTCTTCGGTGTCTCATTCTACATCTTTTATATTCCATGTGTCCTATGCCTAACATTAATAGTTTGAGAAATAATTAGGGTTTTTTGAAAAATGCTCACATATCATATGGATATTAACCTAGTGTGCCATGGAAGTACCGGATCAACGTTCGCCGAAAAAAGGAGACATAAATACACGCGCTGGGATTTTCAGTCCCAAATCATGTACGCGCGGCATTGTTTGAGTGTTTACAAAGTAATAAAACTGAGCCTTCGTTTGAAACTCGTGTAAAGGGTTCCTAAAACATCATTTTGAGATCTCAAAAATCCACAGTGCCGTAGCTGTAATAGTTTTTTTGTAATTCGCGACGGTAATGAAAGCTATAACAGTACTCAAACGGGTGCTGTAATGAGACTTCTTACAGCATCCGATGCTGTAATGAGATTTTAGTAACATTTTATGGAACTAGTTCAAGTTGGTGACATTGGGTCATTAATTTTTCTAGTTGTGAATGTGACAATGTTTGTCTATGGATGTTTAAACACGTTCTTAGCATCGAATACAAGGTTCACAATGATGAGGACATTGAACTCTGAGCAATTTCTCATAAGAGAAAATAATTTGGGAGGTGTACATGAAACATTTTTATCAGGTGAATACACTTTGTGTTTTGACAGTTTCTAATTGTCAATTCAAATTTCTATTTTCAAATGTTACGGTGTTACCAACTGCTACATACCTATTTCCTTACATTGTCAAAATTAATTTCGAATCCGACCCATTTGATTTACCTTTTTGTCACTCGCACCTGCCCTCGGATCCTGACGGACAATATTGGTGATTTGGATGTTCATCTGTAGAGCACATGTGATAATAAGTAGCCATTATCGCTTTTTTCATGTCCTCTGCACTGTTGATATATCTACGGATAGCAAGTATGTCGTAAGTTTTCTGATTAGAGCATCTGTCAATTTTCCTTTTCGCCAAGTTTGTATGTTTTTTTTTATATTTCGTAGTCGGGAGACCATCCTCTTTTCAACATGTCCAACATATTCATTTTTAATTACTGGAAAATCGTCGCCATATGCATTTTGTTCTAAAATTGCTTTGAACGCTTTGGAATCTCCGTCCCCTATACCGGGTGTCCCTCAGAAGTGGCTCACCCCCATATTTTTTTTTATTATTAGTGATATAAGAAAACCATTTAGAGTGCATAATTAGGCCGTTAAAACGGATTATTACAACATAAAATCATTCTCTTTGTGCTTCCGGTTATACCGGAAGTGAGTACTAATTTTGCTAGTTTTTTAAATCTATAATTTTTTTTCTTCAGTTGGATAGACAGCATAATTTCACATAACTTTTACTTAAAAAAATTTTCACGATTGCTTCTAATTTTTGAAAAAGAAAAATATTTTCGTTAATTTTTAGCGTTTTAGTACCTTCAGTGGACAGTTTTTTTGCACTTGCACTCTGTCCTGCAACTTCTTCTTCTTCTTTTTTAGTATGCTGATTCCCATGAAAATGGCGTTTTCGCGCCCTAGACGCATTACTACATTTTGGATAGGAAGACATTTTAAATATTAAGAGTTATATCTGACATTCAAGACTAAAGAAATTCAAATTTGGTGTTTTGAATTTATACTACCAGCATAACATCCGATTTAGTGGGAGGGATGAACATAAAAGCAATAATAGATTTTTCCTAGCGATAATATTATTGCCAGTACTATTTCTCAGGGTCGTAAAAACCATAAGAAATGTCGGAAACTATACGACAATTTCAAACAACATCGATTCTTATGACCATCATAAATAAAAGTCGGCCAGACAAGAACAGGATCGAATTTAAATTCGTTAAAACTAAAATTATTTCTCAACAATTTGCAATAAAGGTGTGTTCTTTAATACGGCCCTTAGTGAATAATCCTGTTTTTGTCCGTTTTTTTCCCACAGAAGTAAAGAGACGGTGTTACTAAAACCGGGAAGACTTGCAGATTGTTATCTATAACGTACTTGTTAAAGGTTTATAACATCTACAATTTAAATCATTTAAAATTAAAACTTTATAGAATCAAGAGCTTAAACAAGATATTGCTATAAAAGTAATCGATTTTTTTGATCACGTGATCATGCGTGAGTCACATGGTTCATATAATATGATATTCACGAAGAACGCGCACCGGGAAAATACGTTATTTTAACGGAAGTATTTAGAATTTTCGTTTAAAATTTTACTATCACATTCTTAAGATGTTCAGGCAACTTTTTATGAAAAAAAATGTTGAGTTTTTTGACGGTTCTAAATGAATTTTCCCCCTTAATGGTTTTCGAGAAAAAAAATTAACATTATAATCCGCGGAAGGGACTTTGGGGTGAATTTGAATAGTGGAACCTGAAAAAGTTCTGAAAACGGTTTCTTGCATTTCGTGCATGTTTTAATAAATTTCCCAATATGAGGCAAACAATGAGGCACACTACCGCCGCGCCGCGCCGATCAAAACACGTTTCTCACGTATACTTACCAATAGATTCGACACGCAAAGAGAAATAAACTTTTTTGTCCACGACTACCTTATAATATATACCTTATGAATGAGTTTTCTAAAACAAAATGGTAGTCATTTTTTACGGAGTGAATAATAGCGGTAAATAATAATCATTATTCACGGGTAGCCATCTGGACCAGACTAATAATAATTATTTGTTTTATAAAACTGACACTTAATTTTGACAAATTGTTGTGAATTGGTTACAGTTAGTAACATTGAATTTGTGTCACATTCACGTTTAACTTTTATTCAAAAATTTATTTAAAAAATAAAATTATGGAATCAATTTCAATAGTCGTGGACAAAGTATAGTATTCTACTCGCATGTAATGAGCTATTATTCACTCAGGTTTATAAACTTAACCTTCGTGAATAATAGCCCTCATTATATGCTCATATAATAAATATACTATTTGTCAATCAAAATCGTCTGTCATTAGACAAAAGCGGAGAATTTTAAACAGTTCCCGTGCGGTTATTATAACCATTTCGAAAAAATTTTATTAGAAAAATCGCTTAGAATAATGCATCCTTCAACCGTTAATGCTCTGATGCAGAAGATACGGGACAACCTGTATATTTAAGTACATATTATTTGAACTAAAATTAGAATTAACACTAGAAACTTTCGGGTTTTGAGTGATTTCGAACTAGTTCCAGGTTCCAGTTTCTGAAGAAGGTTGCAACATGGCATCCGAAACGTCAAACCTTTTCTTAAAAGACACACGGCAAAACCCGAAAGTTTCTAGTTTTAGTTCTAATTTTAGTTCAATTAACTTCGGCCGTGAAAGCCTTCGTGCTTATATTAAAGTAAATATAACTTATTGTTAGGGTACATGAAATATATATTATGTACCATGTTTTCGGAGTTATTTTCAAATATTCGTTTCAAAATCCTAAATTTTGTTTTAAGCACTGTTTATAGATGAAATAAATGCTAGCTAACCATTAAGGAGATATTATAATGGTATTAAACATTTTCAACTTTATTTAGTTGTAATTAGATTTTTGGCCAGATATTCATAACTTCCTAACACTGTTTTGCGGGTCAAAAAAAATTTTTTTTACCAAATGGGGTTGTAAGCTGTTCTCGAGGGTTAGAGTGTCCCGTATGTGAAATTTGGTGACCCAAATCGTATTGGTTATTGAATTATGAATGATTTAAGTTTATGGCTGGGATTTATGGATAACTTCACACCAGGGTTTGGCACTACTTTGAATTTGACATTTAGTCAATCTTGACATTTATGACATTTGTCAATACTAGCAACTTAATATTCATATAGATTTATTTTTATCATAAAACATTTTTTCAATCACTTTTTCGGAATCTTTTTGGAACGTTTAATATGTTAGTTTTTAATTTAATAGGTTCCAGGTCTTGAAGGAATTCATCACCGCACAAATTTTTTAGTTGGAAGTATAAAATCTCAATGGAATAAAATCAAATCGTGGATTTTAGTAGATACGGAAACGTTTCCGGAAAAAAGTCATCGATTCACTGCCGTTTACAGTCGTGATAGAGAATATTTGTAATATTATCTCTACGAAATCAATGAAAATTTAAGTTTCATTTTTTAGATTTGATGTTGATTCTCCGTGTTTTTTTACACCCGCCGTTCATTCTCGTGTTATCCAATTTATCCTCGATCGTAAAAGATTTACGAATAAAGAAGATGATGATTTTGCCTTTGGAATTGAACGATTATTAACTGATAAGATTTATACGGCTGCTTATCCACTTCATGATGTACGAATATTAAAAATTATTTGCTTGTATAATTTTAAAATAATTTATTTGAAGGGTGATTTAAATGATCGTGGTACAATGAGACATCTTTTATACGAAGAGTGGACATCTCTTAGAAAATGGTACAAATATCAACCTTTAGATTATGTGAAAGAATATTTTGGTGTTAAAATAGCTCTCTATTTTGCTTGGTTGGGATTTTACACTCATATGTTGTTACCAGCTTCAATCGTGGGCTTAGCTTGTTTTATTTATTCCTGGTTAACTCTTTATAGTCACCAACCAAGGTTTGTTATTATTTTTTTCATAATTTTATTAATTCAAAAATTTTAATTATTTTAGTGAAGATGTTTGTAAATCAGATACTATAATAATGTGTCCGTTATGTGATCATTGGTGTGATTTTTGGGATTTAAAAGAAACTTGTGTACATTCGAGAATCTCATATTTATTTGATAATCCCACTACGGTTTTTTTCGCAATTTTTATGTCGTTTTGGGGTAATTCATTAATATTAAATAAAAACAATAAAAATTAAATTTATTTTTTTTTAGCTACACTTTTTCTTGAATTATGGAAACGTTACTCAGCTGAAATTACACATCGTTGGGATTTAACTGGTTTTGATATTAAGGAGGAACACCCAAGACCTCAATATTTAGCACGATTAGCGCACGTTAAACGCAAAGAAATTAACGTTATCACAAATACTGAAGAACCTCATGTGCCTTTTTGGCGAATGCGAGTTCCTGCGACAATTCTCAGTTTTTCAGCCGTCCTACTTTTAGTTACTTTGGCAGTAGCCACCGTACTTGGAGTGGTATTTTATAGAATGTCCGTTTTAACAGCTTTAAAATTTTATGGTGATCGAGTAACAACTAGTAATGCAATATTATTTACAACAAGCACTGCCGCGTGTATTAATTTGTGTTGTATTGTCGTTTTAAATTGGGTAAGAAATTATTTTAAAAATCTAAATAGGGTAATGATACTAATGATGCAGTTATTGGATAAGACCAGTTATTGAACGCGTTAGTTTTATGCAATAAAAAAAGCTTTTATAATTAAATATTCACTTGGTAATTACCAATCTATAAATTTGTATGGTTTCCATCTACATATTTTTGTAATAACGTCTGGGATGTTTTCATCTAATGAAATAGTTTAAAGACTTTTATGTGTGCAGTTATTTGTAAATATAGCTGTTATTAAACTAAAATATGTCCCTATTTGGACCTTATTCAGTTTGAATGTAAAAAAAATCGATTCACAAATAAGTACCTATTTGCGTAATATCAGATATGTTTATAAGAAACTCGCAGGAGGACGAAATATGATCACCTTGCAATGCAAAAAAAATGTACTATTGTTCCAATATAAATGCTTATCTTGGAATAATTGCACAAAGTCCTAAAAAAATAACAAGGTCAACAAGCTGTAAAGCAAATATTGATTTATGGAAAAATCTAATCGCGTAATAACACATAATTTTTTTAATTATTATTTACTTTGAACTTGAATAACAAAAAAACTACTCCGAGAAAAAAATAGAAAAAATCGAGACCAGCTTCGTTGGACTAATTCTAAATGTACCTAAATTGGAGTGAAGTTAGCGACGACTTTTCAGCGACGGATTTTGTCAATTCCACCACGGTCGCAAATCCGTCGCTAAGATTGCGAAACGCACAGTGAAACGGATTGAACATAGAAAATATGATCATGTTGTGTTAAATGAATGTTACGAAGATCACTACGTGCTGTATATCTCAGAATTCCAGAATAAATTTCGAAACTGCTAATAAAATAGGGTAGAAAAGTCTCGGCTTTAAAAAGAAATAAAACCATCCCCTTAGCCGTGAGTTGCAGGGTTGAAATTTGGTGTGGACATAGCTTCGACATCCCTAAGTTGATTTTCGTTAAAATTAGAGTGTTACACATGAAGGGATGTCAACCCCTAATAAAAATAGGTGAAATTCGCTGTTAGGTGAAAAAAAAATATAATCCACCCCTTAACCGTGAGTTGCTGAGTTTAAATTTGGTGTGGATGTAGCTTTGACATCCCTAAGTTGATTTTCGTTAAAATTAGAGTGCTACACATGAAGGGGTGTCAACCCCTAATAAAAATAGGTGAAATTCGCTGTTAGGTGAAAAAAAAATAAAATCCACCCCTTAGCCGTCAGTTGCTGAGTTGAAATTTGGTGTGGATATAGCTTCGACATCCCTAAGTTGATTTTCGTTAAAATTAGAGTGCTACACATAATAGTAGTAAATATCAAATTTTTTCAAGTAATAAAACGACCTCACTTTTAGAATATAATAATGAAAGTAACATAAAATTTAATTTTAAATACGGTTTAGTATTTCCGTTTTTAATTAATGGTAATCATTAGCTAATACATGTACGAAGATGTTTTCATATTATAGCAGCCAAAATAGCAATAGACGAGAAGCCAACAAATATTTCAAAAAATTTTTAAAAATTGCAAGTGTTAATGAAGATGAAGAGAGAATGGCAATATTAGATCATTATCACCAAAGCAATGGTTATGACTGTGGGGCATTCATAATCTATTACTTTAATCAAATCGTCAAAGAAAAGTCATGTATTGAAAAAATAGATTTTAGAAATTATAGATGTTTTGCCTTCAAGAAACAATTTTACAATACTCTGCGGACATGCGAACAAATATTGTTTTTTTGTGGGCAAAAGAACGAATACAATAGCACCACCTGTTATAGTTGTAATAGAATGTATCACATCAAATGTGCCTATGGCGTCTAAGATTTTTTACAACAGCGACCAAACTGGTTATCTTTGTGTAAAATTTATCAAAAACACAAACAAAATTCTGCATAATCTACCAACTTTTAGGTAAAGGTATAATTTCTTAGTCTTTATTTTTTTTTACCTTTCATATTTCAGTCATAACAACACTACCACAATTATTTATTGTGTTCGAACTCAAGGACAGTAGAATCTAACAGGACTGCTACATCCATTGTATTTTTGTAGTTCACTAGGGATTGGTTGCCCGCACTCTACGTCATACTATTTGCCACGCCTGGTAACTGTCTGCGTTTTAGAGGTTATATGATAGACATTAATACGTCTAAAAACATAAAACTTCAAAAATAATATGAATACGTCTAGGATATAACCTCTCAAAATACACAGCAAACGCATAAACCATAACAACAGCTGGGCGTGGAAAATGGTGTGACGTAGTTTGCGGGCAGGTTGTCACAACAATGAATGTAGCAGTCCTGTTAGATTCTACTGTCCTTGGTTCGAACTGACTTTTTAAATTTATTTTCATATTTGTTTCTTTGCATTATATTAAGTTTTTAACTGTTATCATAGTAACTATAATTTTAATTTTGTTAATAATTTTATTAGAATAATATACTTACTTTTATACAGGGTGTTTCGGTGACTCGGGGAACAAATTTAACCACATATACTAGAGTGAAAATGATAACGATTCATGTAAAAAATATTAGTAAAAGACCTCAAATTTCGAAGATACAGGCCATCAAAGTTATGAAATTTTAACACATTTTTCTAAATATCTTAAACACTATTTATGGTAATGTGCTGAAATTTGGTACAGTATAAACTAATATCACGTAAAACCATTTTGTAATTTATAAGTTGGATCGGTCCGCGGGAACAATGCTATACAGGCTGTTCCTAAAATTTGTTTGCTCAGAACTTTTTTATTCGATCGTAACCCTACATTTATTTTTACAGTTTCTAATAGAAAATTTATTTTAGAAACTTTTATTACTCTTAGATAATATTGATAAAAATCACCGTTTTCGTGTTAAATGCAAAAATGTTAGGTTCCGATTTCAATAACACTAAAAAAAAAAAATCTAAGTCGGCCATGACAAGTGCAAATCGAACTGAGCCGTCATAAATATTATGTATGTAACATTTCCAAGTGTAGATTAGGTAAATCCCTTTTTAATTTGTTTTAGTTGATTTAATAAAAGATAATACAAAACAATAAATTTAATTTTAACGACAACGCTAACAGGAAAAATAAAACAAATACATAAAATAACAAGACAAGTAATAAAAAATACTATAGGAAATGTTCAAAAAGACCACATGTCCCTTCTGGTATTTAACGGAACGTCACTAAGAACTCGTCCAATCCTTCCAAATGTTGATGGTATGTAGGGCCATCAAGTCTTGACGGCCAGAAAACGGGACCAACAGTGACATCCCCCACAATCCCAGCCCAAACATTGAGAGAAAATCTCCATTAAGATTTCCAAGTTTTGAAAAATTTTGGATTTTCTTCAGCCCAACTATGTAAATTCCTTAAATTAATTATTTCATCTTTAAAAAAGTAGATTCATCGGTGAAAAGTATTTTTTCTAAAAACTGATTATCAATTTGTATTTTCTGTTGCATTTTCTGGCAATATTCTAATCTAATTGGATAATCGGTAAGCTGTACTTCCTGAACCTTAAAGCAGTGAAATGGGTAAAGCTGCTGCTCTCGAAGAATACGCCACACAGTCGTTTTTGACGTCCCAAATCGCCTAGCCATGTCCGAAGTACTAGTGGTACTATTTTCTTCTGCATGTTCTAAAATTAACTCTTCCAATTGAGAACTTCGAACAGATCTAGGATTGCCGTTGTTCAGAAAGATATGTTTTAGTGATCCATTTTCTCTTAATCGGGCTTCAATTCGAGAAAACGTTTTTCTGTTGGTGGTTCTACGATTCGGGAATTTTTGCCGATAACGGTTAGCGGCTGCTACGGAATTTCCAAGACATTCACCCAATGTTAAAAGCATATCGGTTTATTCTCCAAACGTGTAATTTTCCATTTCGAACACTACAAGGTTTTTAGTATTTGTTTAAACGACTAAGCGTGTTTACAACTGTCAATGAATTCGTTTGTTAATTGTCATGGTAGACTTAGACTTTTTTTTTTAGTGTTATTGAAATGGGAGCCTACCATTTTTGCATTTAACACGAAAACGGTGATTTTTATCAATATTATCTAAGAGTGATAAAAGCTTCTAAAATAAATTTTCTATTAGAAACTGCAAAAATAAATGTAGGGTTACGATCGAACAAAAAAGTTCTGAGCAAACAAATTTTAGGGACTCCCTGTATAGCATGGTTGCCGCCGCCCGATCAAAGTCAAAATTGGTTCAATAATTTTGCTTGATATTTGTTTACATTGTACCAAATTTCAACGCTCTACCATAAATGGTATTGAAAATATTTAGAAAAATGTGTTAAAATTCCTGAACTTTGATGGCCCATATCTTGGCCATTTGAAGACTTTTATAATAAATTTTTATCACCAATCGTCATCATTTTTGCTCTAGTATATGAGGTTAATTTTATTCCCCGAGTCACCGGAACACCCTGTATAATAAAAATTTCATTCATGTGTTTTATATATTATATTTTTGTTCCATATAACATAGCGAATTTCACCTATTTTAACTAGGGGTTGACACCCCTTCATGTGTAGCACTCTAATTTTAACGAAAATCAAGTTAGGGATGTCGAAGTTTTATCCACACCAAATTTCAACTCAGCAACTCACGGTTAAGGGGTGGATTTTTTTTTCACCTAACATAGCGAATTTCACCTATTTTTATTAGGGGTTGACACCCCTTCATGTGTAGCACTCTAATTTTAACGAAAATCGACTTAGGGATATCGAAGCTATATTCACACTAAATTTCAACCCTGTAACTCATAGCTAAGGGGATGGTTTTATTTGTTTTTAAAGCCGAGACGTTTTTACCCTATTTTACTAGCAGTTTCAAAATTTATTCTGGAATTCTGGGATAAACAGCACGTAGTGACCTTCGTAACATTCATTTAACACAATATCGTCATATTTTCTATCTTCAATCCGTTTCCCTGTGCGTTTCAATCTTAGCGACGGATTTGCGACCGTGGTGGAATTGACAAA